AATGCCCCTGTTACCTAGCAGTAAATAGGTACCTGGGTGTTAGTCAGCTGTCACGGGCTGCTTCCTGGGGGTGGAGGCCTGGTCGAGGACCGGGCCGCGGGGACACTAAAGCCCCGAAATCATCTCAAGATAACCTCAAGATATCATTATGTCATACCATTATGACATAGTGTCAACATAATGATACCCATTATGTCAACTTCTCGAGGGATGTTGATTATTAACTCTCTTACCTTGAGATATTTTTTACCAGCACAGCCACTCCTCTCCCCTTCCTAGTTTTCCTGTCACGTCTCCAAACTGAGTTGCCTCTTTGGAATACGACCTCAATTAAATTTTTTTTCTAGTTTCGTCTCTGTTAGTGCAACAATATCTGGGACTTAACCATCGCACTGCGCACCTGGTTTTGGCAAAAACTTCACAGTGCAATTGTTAGACATAGTTTGTTGTTTTTTATAAATGTTCAGGTAAAGTTAATGTCAAAATGTTTCCAAACTCAACCATTTTCATTTCAAAACACAAAGAGTGATGGAAACCTTAAAAAACATTAAAATATAGCCTAATTAAAAAAAAAAAAAAACTTTCAGAGCGCCTTAGGGCACTCTGCGCAGTACAGTGGTTAAGCTGAATTATATCTTTTAGCTGCAATATTATTTATCTCACTCCATCTATGTTGGTATATAAAATTTTTAGGAACATGTTTCTTTCCCTTTGTCCTTTACTCCCCCCCCCCTCCCCTTCCAATAATGATTTTTGTTGCTTTGTTTTTATGTACCATTTCACTAGCTTTCAAGTCCCTAACACCTTGTAGAAAAAAAAATTCTGTCTTCATTTCTATTCCCATTCAGACGTTTCTCTTCATCAAGGTTCATTTTCAGCTTTTTCTGTCTTCCTTTGAGAGGTCTTGTCTTATTGACCAAAGTTTGCCATCCTCATCACACTGCAATTTCCTAGCATTTCTAAGCACTTCCATCATTTGTTTCACTCCACTAAATGTCATCCTTAAGGAGCAGTTATTGTCGTTCTCATATTTTCATATTCTCTTAAAATCAATGACAATTTCCTTTAAATTTAGACCTTCTCCTAAACCTACTATTTTCTCTATGACTTTCATCTCTTCTTCTGCTCTATCCACCTTGGATAATATTTCCTTTTCTAAACACCCAAAAATTATTATAGACTTACTTCTATCTGCAGTGTTTTGTTTAAATTTGCTGTTGATAACCCGTTCTTTCCTAACTGCTTGCCTAAATTCTGCTTCTTGTTGGTCATTTCTGGTTTTGGCTTCCAAACACAACTTCCTTGATCGTTTTTTCTCTTTTACAACTTTCCCATACGTCTCTTTTTATTTCCTCTTTGTACTTTTTCTAGTTCTTTATTAACTTTCTTTATGTGAGTTGTCCATCAAGTTTCTCTTTGCATATCCTTGCCTAACTCTATGTTAGCCCTCTGGGTTCCTTGGAGTTGTTCACATATGAATCTATTTTCTAGCTAATTTCTTCAAATTCACCCTTCTTCATTTTTCATGCCTAATTATCTTTCACTAGTTCCTTGATTTGTGCCTTCTGTATCCTTACCTATCTTGTGTAATTACCTAAGTGTAGTTACAGGATGAGAACTACGCTCGTGGTGTCCCGTCTTCCCAGCACTCTTTGTCATATAATGCTTTGAAACCACTGACGGTTTTGGCCTCCACCACCACCTCACCTAACTTGTTCCAACTGTCTACAACTCTACAGTATTTGTGAAAGTGAATTTTCTTATATTTTTTCGTCATCTTTCTTTAGTTAGTTTAAATCTGACTTCTTGTTAGTCAATTCCCATTACTATTGTAATAAAGTGGTGATCATATTGCCTCTTTTTCTTCTATCACCAAGCTTTGAAACTAACGAAACAAAGCTGCTGGAGAAATATAAGAAAATTCACTTATCTAAACAGAGTGGTAGACGGCTAGAACAAGCTAGGTGAGAAGGTGGTGGAGGCCAAAACTGTCAGTAATTTCAAAGCGTTAAATGACAGAGTGCTGGGAAGACGGGACACCACGAGCGTAGCTCTCATCCTGTAACTACACTTAGGTAATTACTTGAAACTGTGTATGGAGTCAGCCTCCACCACATCACTTTCTAATGCATTCCATTTGTCTACTACTCTGATACTGAAACATTCTTTCTAATGTCTCTATAGCTCATTTGGGCACTCAATTTCCAAGTATGTCCCCTAATGCATGTGCCCCTTGTGTTAAATAGTCTGTCTTTATCTACCCTATCAATTCCTCTGAGAATCTTGTATGTGGTCATATAATCACATACTACATATGTCCTATATATATATATATATATATATCCTATACATACATACTACATATGCTCATATAACCACACCACATATAGTGGTGATCATGTCCCGTCTAACTCTTCTGTCTCCCAGTGACGTGAGGTTTAATTCCCGTAGTCTCTCCTCGTAGCTCATATCCCTCAGTTCGGGTACTAGTCTGGTGGCAAACCTTTGAACCTTTTCCAGTTTAGTCTTATGCTTGACTTGATATGGGCTCCATGCTGGAGTCGCATACTCCAGGATTGATCTGACATATGTGGTATACAAAGTTCTGAAAGATTCCTTACACAAGTTTCTAAAAGCCATTCTTATGTCAGTCAACCTGGCATATGCCGCTGATGTTATCCTCTTGATATGGGCTTCAGTGTCGGAAAATCCGACACCATTTAATAAATATATCATACAGACAGATAATAGCTGTGTTGTATAAACAAGTTACCCATAGAAAACGTAACTTGTAGTGGAATTACCGTCTAAAGAAAACGGGATATCATCACCACATACTATTATATTCACCAGCTATTCTGCTGGGAATTATTCTTAAATACATTAGTCTTTGGACTTTACCATCATAAAACATCTCATATAAATTAACTTAATCATCAATATTAAAGTAGAGTAAATGTGACCCTTCTATCACTTTCCGTCATCTGGACAATGTAAGCCAGGCGTCAGTGGGAAGGAGGGTAGCCATTGACACAATCGACTTGAGAATGGTCCAGGACGGACCGAAACGTCGTCGTCCCTTCAATTTCTAGTGTGTGGTCTGGTCAACAGGGTAGCCATTGTTGTGTCACATCCGAGACGCGTGGAGCAAATTCGGCTCCTATCATATCTGGACAATGTCGGCCAGGCGTCAATAGTATGGAGTGTTAGACGCAGCCATTGTTGAGACTAGACCAGAGGCTCACAGGAGCAAATACGGCTCCTGTTAATTTTACTTGGACGAAGTGTTATGGAAACCAGTGGTGTACCATTATCACACGCTGTCAACAAATTCAAGTTAAGTGTTCTTTCCGAAACCCATGTATCTTCATTTATGGCCATTAATGTCATTATATAGGGTGACCCGGTTAGAGCACGTGGAAGCCTCAAACTAAAGGTAATTAAGCCAGGTCTTCAATGTTCCATGTACAGTTTTCTCTGATATAGCTTGTCATATATAGAATCTGGCTTTACAGCTAGCGCCCTTTTGACAGGTCAAGACGAGGAAGCAAGATTTTGTGCACCAGTTACTGGGTGATGGAAGCTACCTCAAAGAGGATAATTTGGTGTCTACACCCTAGTTATACCTGGTGGACTAACCTGCTGTACTATAAGATAAGGAACCTTTTCAATGTATGTAGTTAATACTGTAGTTTGATTGGCTGCATATATATAAATATAAACCCCCCCTAATGTGTAGAGGATCGATTTGTGAGATTGAGATTATTGCAGAAATACAGTCCACTTATCATTATACAAATTGCTATCGAAGTATATAAATTAACGTAAATATAAATTCATATAAATTAAATAAATATATATCTCACAGGTCGGTTCCCACATTCAGGGGACAGGTCTGGCATGATATCAACCTCCAGGTCTTTCTCTCTCTCTGACTCTTGAATTTCATCTCCCAAATGATACCTTGTATCTGGTCTCCTGCTCCCTACACCTATCTTCATTACATTACATTTGCTTGGGTTAAACTCTAACAACCATTTGTTCGATCATTCCTGCAGCCTGTCCAGGTCTTCTTGAAGCCTCAAGCCGTCCTCTTCTGTCTTAATCCTTCTCATAATTTTGGCGTCATCAGCAAACGTTGAGAGGAATGAGTCTATACCCTCTGGGAGATCATTTATGTATATCAGAAAGTGGATAGGTCTGAGTACAGAGCCCTGTGGGACTCCACTCATGACTTCACGCCAATCTGAGGTCTCACCCCTCACTGTAACTCTCTGCTTCCTATTGCTTAGATACTCCCTTATCCACTGGAGCACCCTACCAGTTCCTCCTGCCTGTTTCTCCAGCTAATGCATCAGTCTCTTATGGGGTACTGTGTCAAAGGCTTTCTGGCAGTCCAAGAAAATGCATTCTGTCCATTGTTCTCTTTCTTGCTTAATCTTTGCCACCTGATTGTAGAATTCTATTAAGCCGTTAGGGCAAGATTTACCGTCCCTGAACCCATGTTGGTGGGTTGTCATGAAATTCCTTCTCTCCAGATGTGTTACTAGGTTTTTTCTCACATGCTTCTCCATCACCTTGCATGGTATACAAGTTAAGAATACTGGCCTGAGTGTATATGTGTGTGTGTGTGTATGTGTAAACCAATTCTTTTTAATCTTTAAAATAATCAAATTGCAGCAATTATTAAAAGCAAAGCTACTCTGCGATTAGGCAACAGGATCCATTATTTTTCACATAACTGAATTGTTGTTTATGCTCATATTCTCAAATTTGAAACCTATTCTATCCTAACCTAAAAACAGCATTTTAACAGAGAAAAGACCAAGTTGTTCTAGGTGAATTATATTAAAAACAAGCATTGACTAATAGTTATAGTTAATTTGTTTATGCAATTTAAACTTGACATTCACAATGGATTAAGACCATTAATCCATAAATGGATTAATGGATTAAGGCAAAAAAAGTTAGGAGTTACTAAACACAAGACCAATACTCACCATATTACACTGCTCAAACTGCTGATTGAGCTGATTAGTTTGTGCGTGTGTTTGATACTCATAGTTGAACGGTTTAGAGATAGATATTCCTGGGGATGATACCGGAGATGCCTGGGGGGCACTAGGGGAAGGAGGTGCACTACGAGAGTCACTTGGACTGTTACTGCTATAGCTTCCCAGGCCACCAGTCTGTTGACAAAAATAATTAAATCAAATTTTATTTTAAAAAATCTGAAGTTGAATATGGAGATCCATTCAGATTTCAGGTAGGAGTTCAGTGATTTTTCACTAGGCTCTGATAATGGGACCATGCAGTAAAGGGAGACAGCCAGTATGTAGAAAAGCTGAAGGGAATGATATATGAAATAAAAGGTATCAGGAGAAGGGGCTAGATTGCTTGAAAGATCAATGGGTTATGTGGTGATAGAACATCTTTGAGAACCTTCCTTTTGGGAGAAAATCTTCAGAGCTATCACCAAAATAATAACATTTTTTTTTTGTTAATAGCAATAGAGCAGAAGACAAGAAAGGTCTAAGGTCCAGTAACAACTATTCCCCTGTTCCCTATTTGTATACAAATGATGGGCCATTCCATATATTACACTCAGCCACAAATATACCGTATTTGCCGGATTAAAAGATGCACCCTCTCATAGGACACATTCCCTATTTTACAAGAATATTTTGTGGAAAAAAAAACAGCGTTGAATGTAATGAAATGTCATTTTCTGTGTGAGACCCAGAGGCTCCCCGGAGCTGTACCAGGCTCATATGCTAATGTCAGACTTTGGCATCAGTCATGTGTATGGAGTTCTAGGGCCTACCGGGGACCATGGCAGAACCTGGCCCCCTCAGAGAGGCAAGGGAAGCAATGGCATATAGAAACCCCCATGTGGTTGGAAGCATTCTATGTCTGCCATCGACTGGGTCAAGCATCCAGAAAGGTAAGCATTCCAAAACAAATCCCTATTCTGGTTAAAATTGCTACCAAAAGCCGAACTTGTGGATAGAACTCCCCAACAGAAAACAAGCAAACTAGTATAACGTCACACGTCATTGCGCCGCTGTCTGCGCAGCTTCCCCCTCCCCGGGAGGGGAAAGGGGGAGCCCCAGACCTCTCATGCCGGCTATCCACTCATCAGTTCTGAGGCTGGATGTGAAAACACGCGAAAAACCGCCGACCGGAGGGAAGGAGGGTTACCGGGAAGCCACCGGGTCTCACCCAGAAAATGGTGTTTCATTACATTCAACGCTGGTTTTCTGGGGGGAGCCCCGTCGGCTCCCCAGAGCTAACTATCCACAGAGGAAGGTCAAAGGGATGAAACCGGGAGGCAGACACCACCCACCCCTCAACAGAAGCGAGACAACCGGCAGCAAACGCCAACCCAAGGAGACACAGCCCCCAAAAGGACCCGGGAACAATAAGAGACAACGAGCAGCAAGACCCCTGTACGAACACCAAAAGATCCATGCCCGAATGACAGCAAGGATACGCAGCCCAGACAGCAGCAAGAGCAGCAAAGTCACGAACGCCACGGGCATGGGGAAAGAATACAGGCAGCAGGCAGGCAAGCCACAATAACACGGCGGACAACCCGGGACACCTTCACCCGCGAACAGGGAAGAACGGAACCGGATCAACTCAAAGCGCACCCTGGACATAGAGGCCGCGGCACGCAAATAACAGTGGAGGGCCGCTACTGAGCACAAAACACGACGAACCCCGGCTCGACCAACCAAGCACCAACAAACCAAGGACCCATCCAGAACGCAGCAGCCCCATCCCGTGCCAGAAAAGATGGGCACGGCTTCCACCGAACAACCAAAACGCCAAGACCGAAGGAGCAGAAAACCCCTGCGGAGGAGAGCAAGAAGCCCAGCAACCTGACCCCCAGAGGCAAATGCTAACAGGAAAAAGAGCCGACGAAAAACAAAACGGAACCGAAGGGGCACCACCAACTGAGAAGACAGAGCATGCTGACCAGAGACCAGGACGGTGCAAGTGGCGCACGAACAAACCGGAGATGAAACAACACACAAGACAGCTTACTAATGGTGCAGAAGCAACACCAAAACCGAAAGCAAGCCGAAGCGGCTCCGCCAGCGCCGCACAAAACGAGGCGACAGTATGTGGCAAGACGACGGTCCCCAACCCCCACCAGAAAAACCAAGCCGACGCTAACAACCGCAGCCACCTAAGAAGGGACAGGAGGAAAAGGAAGGACCGCCAAAATACCCCATACTGCCATCAAGAAGAAGCACGCAGGTGGGACACCAACAACGAAGCCACCAGACCACCAACTGGAGGCGAGACACGCGAGGCAGAACGTAATCAACCCCGACAAGGCTCATCCGAGCCCAGGAAAAGGCGGAGCCGCGGGAAGATCTCGGGCGCGACCACCAAAGAAGCCCAAGCCGGCAAAAAAGGAGATGGAACATCTGCCGAACAGAAAGCTCCCCAATGAGAGCAAGCCCGCCAGGAGATCAGAAATGACGAGTCCGACGCGAGACATCGCAAGACTCTGAAAAGCCAACAGGCAGGGCAAGCCAGGAAAACCGAAGTAGGTGTAAGGGTTGTCACCAGACCAGTACCCGAACCAAGGGGTACGAGCAATGAAAACAGACCAAGGCACATAAGCACACCATATGACGCAGTCTGAAGGAACACCCAAGAAGCCAAGGAACGCATGAAGAAAACCCCTGCGGCAGAAAAGTAAACAAAGGGAACGCACAAGGAAGCTTAGCGGAGGAAACCGACCCCCCCTCCCCCCATACAACAGCAAGTGCAGGCAAAATTGAGCAAAGGAGATGCCAAGGAAGCGACAGGGGAGATGCAGGACGAAAGAGCCAAAGCTCAAACCCCAGGAAACACAACCGGGGTGGACAATCAGGCGTGGACAGAACCCCACGCACATGGAAGGGCCAAGCCAGGGACCCGAAGACCACGAAAAATAACACAAGCAAACCCCCATACGCAAACCCCAGGCACAAAACAGCAGCAAAGTGCCACACCACAACCTGACACAGGAACAAGTACACGCCACTGCGAAACACGTTACCAATGCACACGTGCAGCAGCAACATGCACCACATGCAACACGCAACATGTATGTAGCAACTCATCTCTGCAAAGGCAGAGAAAGGTGCAGGCAGACTCCAGGCCAACCCCACACAGGGCCAACGGAGACACGACAGAACCCAGCAGGCCCAGGAACCTGCACACCAGGCGATCGACGGCAGAGATACCCGCTCGATACCTGCTTGATGAGGTTCCGGGAGTTCATTTACTCCCCAAGCCCAGCCCAAGGCTAGGCTTGACTTTTGAGAGGTTGGTCCACCAGGCTGTTGCTTGGAGCGGCCCGCAGGCCCACATACCTACCACAGCCAGGATAGTCCGGAACCTCTATTAGAAAACAGGCTAGTGTTCTCTTTTTTTTTTTTTTTTTTTGAGATATATAAAAGAGTTGTTACATTCTTGTACAGCCACTAGTACGCGTAGTGTTTCGGGCAGGTCCCTGGAATACGATTCCCTGCTGCGAAGAATCGTTTTTTCATTCCAAGTACACATTTTACTGTTGCGTTAAACAGAGGCTACAGTTAAGGAACTGCGCCCAGTAAATCCTCCCCGGCCAGGATACGAACCCATGACATAACGCTCGCGGAACGCCAGGCGAGTGTCTTACCACTACACCACGGAGACTGTTTAACTTTAGACTTTAAGATGTCCACGGATGTACCGGCCATATGTCTTATGCTCGCAGGTAGGACGTTTAACAACTGCAGACCTCTGATGTTTATACAGTGTTCCCCGATTGTGCCTATGGCACCACTGCTCTCCACTGGCACTATCCTGCATGTTCTTCCACATAGGCAGGACCAAAGAGCCAGAGCTCAAACCCCGCAAGCACAGCCAGGCGAGCCCAACCAGGTGAGTACATAACCAGCACCACAACCCACACACCTCATAACATGAAAGAGGTGGGTCCCCCGAATGACTCCATCATGGGTTGGACATGCCTATAAGAGGGACTGGAAGGATTAAAAAGGGACAGTCACCTGTGTGCCGACGGTCTCATTTGTACATAAATATACCTAAATAAAGACAGGTATATACAGATCTCCACATCCAGCGCCCGACCGAAAGATGCCAGACCACAGAAACTCACCTGTCGAACGGAGGCACGAACGTGACACGACCCAACAGTGCAAAGACGATCCCGGGAGCACCGCCAGGTGAAGAAGCCAGAGCCGGACACGCAGGAGAGCCGGGTAGAGGCGAAGGAGGAGGCCCACACCCATAACCCAGGGAAAACCTCGGCGTCCTCCCCACAGCTGTAATCCCTGACACCCCCGGAGCGACGGGGCACATACCGGAGAAGGGAGAAGAGCGAGAGGCGAAGCACCCAAGAAAAAAGGGCGCAAAACATCAGCAATGAAACACACCACCCAGACCAAAACAAACTCCCACGGCGCATGCGTAGGACATGCTGGCCGAACCGCACAACCCGCTCTGCGGGAAGGCGCCAACTAGGAATACTGCACAAGAAAAGTAGCCAAACAGAACGCAACCCTAGGAACCGCTAATTAGAAAAAACAACCCATCACACGGGACAGGAGCCAAAAAAGGAAGTAGCAACAACATAACCGGCCAACGAAGCGAAGACAAGGAGCCCAATGGGAACCCAACCGGGCCACGAGTAGCCCAACTGGGCTACAAGTAGCCCAATCTGGCGACCCGGACTAGGAGCCGACAGACGTTCCAATAATACGGGAAGTAGCGAAAACCTACCCGAACCCTTGAGAACACAGAAGCAAACATCAGTCCTAAAAGCACACAAAGGCACAGTCGCACTCGAGACCAAAAGTCCTGTAGAACCCCAATAATGGGGAAACATGACGAAGATACCCCGTCCCCAAAAAAAAGGGGAGAGCAAAGGGGTTTGCTTCCCCCATTTTTTCCCCCGGAGTTTGCTCCCCGGGGCTCCCGGGGAGCAAACAAATGAGAGCGTTGCCACCACCAAAGCTCAACGTGCATTGTCCCTGCTGCCTGCACCCGTTTAGTCAGTACACAACTAGGTAACCGAGTCACAACAAGCAACAAAACGTGCAGGACTCTGGGTCGAAGGTGTCACCGACCCCACAGACAGCATATGGGGGCAAAACAGAGAGTCACCCTGAGACAAGGGGTG